TGTACCCTATCGCAATACCAAGTAGCTTTCTTCCCATAGAATGCTCTTTTGTCTTGAATTCTGTTTCATTTCATTACTGTTGTTTGTTTTCGAGATGTAGTCTTGTTATGTTGGCCAAGGTGGACCCCTCACCTTAGCCTCCCAAGTAGCAAGGCCTACAGATGCACACTGCACATCTAATTTCTACCTTACTTTGAGTGTTTACATGGGCATCCTTTTATATTTCTCTATTTTAAGCTTTTTGGTAACACTATATCTTAGATTTATCTTTTATATACACTTAGAGACAATGGGAACTTTTAATGTAGTCACATTTTTTATGATTACTAATGCGTCTGTCACTCAGCTCCAGCTGCAATGACTTCTTTCCTTCCTTATACACTCCAGCTACATCTGTATACTGCTCAGTCTGGGTAAAGCTTCCTTTCCTTCCAATGGCTTGTTCTTCTTCTTCATGTGTCTTAACTGTATGTTCTGTCTATATAAGGTCTCTTCCACGTTTTTCCTTTACCATACTTTACAAAATGTGCCACTGTGGTACCTTAACTGATTTTATTTACTGAATTTACTGAGTTTATTTTTGTTTCTCTCATTATTAACTCCATAAGAACACAGGCTTTGTTCTGTGCATCCACTGTGGACATGTAAGTCATCTTAAACTGAAATATTACAGGGTGGTTTTGATTTTTTTTTTTTGAAGATTCATGAACCAAATTGGATTTAAATTTAAAGCTTTTTGTGGCATTAGGAATAGCAAAATGAGAATGTGAGTCCTCATAAAAGGAATATTCTTTTTTAAAAAATGTGATCTGTTTATAGAATACCAGTTTATAAAGTATCAGTTTTAAAGAACATTGCATTTCTGAGCACTGTTTTTTACTTCAATCACCAACCACAAATCTTAAACACTACAGGGAATCACTGAAGGTCCCCCCACCCCCACCCCGCACTTGGTAAATAAGGCAATTCAATTTTAGAAATGGGATAAGTATTCAATTTCAGATGAAAATATGAAGTTTTTTTCTAAGTATCAAATTCTGCCACTTCTGATTAACTTATTTCCTATTTTAGGCAAAAAGTTCATTTCAAAAAAGCAATTGCCTTCTCAGGAGGAAAGAGGGTATCATTTTCATAATTAAATACTGTTTGTCTAGACTCAGAAAACCTCTCTCTGAAGCTGCTGAGGTAAACATGTTAGTTAGCCTCACAGATACCCATATCCTAAACATGCTAAGATTGCCCAGGCATTCTTCCCTCAATGCAGTATGCCTTTACAATGTAGAGATTTACAGAAATACATTCTCCATGTTCCATGTACTTCTTTGAAGTATAGCAGACTCAAAGGAGAGAAAGAAATTTTAAAAATCAAACACTATTAACAAAATATGAACACATTCTATTTCTGAATTACGGTACCCACTAAGAAAAAAGAAACTCGTATAACGGTACACTACACTCCAGGAATCTTTTAGGTCAGACCTTCACGGTTAGTGTCACCGGCAGGGCAGGCTGAAGCACCACCTGGTGCTGTCCTCAGAGATTCCAATTCAGTATCTGGTGACAGTGACAGCTGCTTATGGGGAGCACCTTGAGTGCCATCTTTTAGACTACCATTCCAAATCCTGGCTTTCAAATGTGGCAATGGCTATAACACCAAGGCATCAGAGGCAGTTTTCACTTATCTTTAGTTTCATTTATATACATCCTAATTCCATCTTCTCTCATCACTCAAATATAAAATGCTCTTAAAAGAGAATTAAAAAAAAAAAAAAAAAGAATTCTCAGAGGACTGGAGAAATAGCTTAGCAGTTAAGAGTATATACTGCTCTTGCAGACAACCCAAGTTCATTTCCCAGCACCCACATCAGGTGGCTCACACTGCTGTAATTCCAACTCCAGGGCATCTGGTGCCCTGTTCTGGCCTCTGTAGACACTGTACTATGTGTATGTGTCCTTGTGCACATATTCTCACACAGATCCACACATCAACAAATAATCAGAACTAAAAGTAAACTCGTTTTAAAAGATGGATTTTCAGGCTGGCAAGGTGAAAAGTCCAGTGGGTAGAGGCACTTGCCACCAAGCCTATGCACTTTAACAGCACACCCAGGACCTACATGGTGGATGGAGAGAACTCACACGCATAAACTATCCTCTGACCTCCATGTGTATGCTGTGCTGTGTATGTGTAACTTTAATGAATTCTCCTGGCATTCTGAAGGTAAAAAACAGAAATTCATACCATAACAGGTTGGCTCACTCATATATAAATCCAAATTTCAGTTTGGATTTGGAACAAAAGTCCTAACAGCAAATATCTCTAAGCATGAGACAGGTCAGACTATTAGGAGAAAAGAGTGAGACTGGCCATGTAAGGTGGAGAATTGGAGAAGCCATGCTCAAACAGGGCAGCACAAATAACCATCATGCAGTAGTAATAACCCACTGTGCCAATCTTCCAAGTTTCTGGGCCAAGCTGGAAATACAGCATTTTATGTAAAATCAAGTTTTAAACATTGGCAACTGAGTTTCAGGTTGGTTTTTTGTTTTGTTTTGTTTTGTTTTTTCCGAGACAGGGTTTCTCTGTGTAGCCCTGGCTGTCCTAGAACTCACTCTGTAGACCAGGCTGGCCTCAAAATCACAGAGATCTGCCTGCCTTTGCCTCTCGAGTGCTGCGATTAAAAGTGTGCACCATCACCACCTGGCAAGTTTCAATTGTTTAATACTGAACAGACACACAGAAGAGTCTCTGAGCTGCTGCTGCTGCAGTCTTTGGATTGGAAGCGTCTTGGGTGAAGTACAGACTAGACAGATGTTAGTTAACTTGTCCACTCTTAGGGTCCAACCCCCTCTAGCCACCACCTTTCTCCAATAAAGTACTCTCTGAGAACCAATGGACCTCTCGGTAGAAATAGCCTGCCTGTCAAACCAAGCTCTTTGCTAATGACTCAGCTTGATAAACCAGGGCAAAGATAAAGGAACCTCTCCATACTCTAGACCTACTGACCTAAGAATGGTGACAGCATCAGGTGACTGAAATCTCAAGATTACTATTTCTACAGCATCTAGAAAACAAAAAACCATATACGAGTACAAATTTAGGGGCTCTTACTTTATGGCAACAATGATGTGAACTTCTGACTGAAATTCAAGCAGGCTTGCTTAAACTAAGAAAATCAGTCTTTACAAATACATTGAAGACAACTCCACAGGCAATGTGAGGAGCAAGGGGCGGTTCAAAGCTTGTGGTCCTACTCTGCCTCACTATAGCAGGCAAAGCACTGCACAAAGCATCCAACATCAGCTCAGAAGAAGACAGACGCCAAAGACCTGGAAGAAGAATGGCAGCCGGAACGCCCCTCTTTGTGGCCTCCTTTGGACAGGAGATTAAAAACACCGTTCACAGAGGGATCAGAATACAAGTTTCAAAATATAAAGTGGATCAGGATGCCTCTAGCCATGGTTCTCAAGAGGAAAAGCTAAAGTCCTAATCTCACGCAGAAAATGCAGTACCAGCTGGCTCTCTGCCCTCTTCATCCCGTGACCATGTAGTGCTCTCTGATGTCACTGCATGTGCACACCATTTCTCCACTGCTCTGCAAATGCACCCAACAAGTCCCTGCTTCAGGGACCTGAGTCGGCCATTCTCACCACCTGAAAAGTGGTCTCTCTGGATATGCGCATAGTTCATATCCTCATTCTCCTACTTAGACTCTATTTTTCCCCTCAGTATTCTTTTTAAAAGACACACACACACACACACACACACACACACACACACACACACACACACACACACCCTTCTCTCCCCAACTGCCCTTTTGCTTTGCATTTTCTCTAACACCGCCATCTGACACACAAATGTTTCATTATGTTCCTTCTAGAATGAAATCTCCATGAGGTGGCTTTCACCTGCCTGTTTACTTCTACAGGCCTCTATCATAGTGTCAAGAACATGACGATACTCAAACACCACCATCTTGGTAAATGAGCACACAGACTACCAAACAAAACAAAACAAAACAAACAAATAAACAAACAAACAAAACAAATAAAGCTGGGCTCTGGCACAGGACCAGTGTCTAAGTTAAATAAACCCAGGTAAGTCATTCAGGCCTTCAGAAGACTTCTACCCTGAGTTATGGAAACTACATCATTCTATGACAGCACAGATTAAGTCATGGAAGGATGGCATCACTTCTGTGTCCGTCAGCAGTCAGTGGAAAGGACCAGACAGGTTTCTCAGAGCTCAAGTCCACCGCCCAAGCTAAACTATAAGGACCAACAGAATTCTGACACAGCTGAATAGCACACTTTAGAACTTGAGAATGTAAAGATAAGAGTCCCAACAGAAAAAAAGCATTTTCTGTAAATAGTCACAAAATATGGGCTCCTTAGCTTACTTTTTACTCAAAATGTTTTACTGTCTCTACTCATTAAATCCTGCAAATATTAATAAATGTCTACAGTTGGAGGAAGATGTTCTATAACAAACGGAGGGAAACATACCCAATTTTACATAACAAATTCTGAAAAGATTTAGAACAATCCTCAGGCTAAAATTAAAAGAATGATTAATAAAATAAAAAAAAGACACTACAAAATACTGTCAAATGCCCTCCAATGCAACTCCTACGTAAAATATCACAATTCCAAATATACTATTATAGTTGCTTCTTCATTTGGTTATGAAATATTTCTTTTATCACTAATCATTTCAACCTGGACAAAACAAAAAATATTAAGTGAATAAAAAAATTTTAAAGAAAAAAAAGGTCATCAGTCAGGGATCCCAGAACTTTTCAAATGTCAGTAAAATTATTGTCTCAAACTAGTGAGGCCCTTGGCCCTGGAGCTGCTGCCAAGGGCAGTTACAGGAGGTCGAACTTGGTAAGAAATGCACAGGTCTCAGGTACTGTCAGCAAGATGACGGACTGGGTGTGTGGCACTCCCAACCCCTTCCCCACAGACATGACAGTTTTAGTTCCAGCACTACTCACGAACTCATAGTCTCCATCCTGGGGTATCTTCCAGTCTGAAGAATTTTTCAGAGAGCCGGATACACCCTTGCCAAAGCTGTTGATCTGGTTTTCCTTTTCTTTCTGTTCAAAGTATTCAAGGAAAGATGGTTTTGCAGGCTGCATGGTCTCGTCTCTTCCTGAAAACCAAGAAAAACAGAAGGTTAAAAGGAACACAGAAATGCTGTTGTAGTCAGGATGCCTATATGGGACACAGTCTCCAGGTCAGTTCTTTCCATTTACAGAAGCTAAAGAAAACACACAAATCCTCACCCGGAATACTGCTTATGGAAATAAACAGATTTCTGAGGTCCCCTGAAATATATGGAAATGTTTTCCCAGGGTCCTTATTTCTAAACAGCAAGATTTGAGTTTGTCAATGATTCTGAGAAAGCCTCAATAATAACTATATTGTTGTTGTTCTCTTTATTATTGGTTTACTATAGCAAATAATTCTAAAAATATTTGAGAAGCAAACAAAAATACTTGTATCCATCATATTCATTATTCTCTATAAGCATTGTAGCAGACAGAGCATGACAGACGGAAGGTGACTGCTCCTTAATAAGCTCACATTCTAGTTGAAAGAAAACAAATATGTTTGAAAAATAAAATACAAGTTAAGGACAATCCTTCCATTTGTGAAATATTGCATAAGATTCTTCTGGTGCTGGAGATCAAAAACAAAGCCTTGTACATACCAGCAAGTGTTTTCTCACTGAACTATACCCCCAACTTTATTTAACTTTCTTTTTCTTTTCTCTTCTGTTTGTTTGTTTATTTATTTATTTGAGGCAGGATCTCACTTTGTAGTCATTTATTTGTTTGTTTGTTTATTTGAGGCAGGGTCTCACGTTATAGCCCTGGTTGGCCTAGAATTCACTATATAGATTAGGCTGGTCACAAACTCAGAGATTCTCCAGCCTTTGCCTTTCAAGAGCTGAGATTAAAGGCACAGAACATCATGCCTGGCCCACAAATAACTTTTAAAATATTATTTATGAATGATTTATATGGGGTATAATATCAAATGTATAGCACATATCGAACTCTGTAAAATCATATACACAGGAGAAAAAAATACCAAAATATTAAATAAACCGTCAGACATTTGTCTTCTTTCTCGTCATCAACCATTTCAACCAATCCCGTTTGCCCATGGCTGGGGGTACCCACTGCTCACTCTGTTGCCACTTCCTTCTTATGGAGGAGTCATACAGGATGTGCTAAGACCCACCAATCACCAAGAAGATGATGATGTACTGTTTCATGTACTCTATGTAAACACTAGGTGCTTCTTACATTTGCTTTGTTGGTTGTTAAGCTCCATTATTATTGAATACCAAAGTACTACAAGAACTGCAATAAACCTTGTAAAAATGCAACACTGGATTTGCAGAGGAGACAGGAAGCCATGCTTTGTGCTCAGTGCCTTCCTCTAGGAACTCTAGGGGAAGGACTGGCTTGAGACAGCTGAACACTGATCTGTCACCTAATCCTACCAATGAACAAGGAGTATCAGAAAACCTAGACAACCAGCCCGGAGACTTCTGAGCTAACACAGTCAGAACATGGTAACAATACAAAATACCCTAAATTCACTGGGCAGCTGAACAGACTAGGAAATCCACAAAGTCCAAACTATTACATAGCTATCTGAGGAAGGATTACATTGGATATGTATCTCACACCCAAAACAAGAACTTCCAAAGGGATAAACAATTACTGCAAAAACAGAAACTATAAACTCTAGAGGAAAGTGTAAGAATGCATTTAAAGCCTAACTGTGGGAAAGTCTTTCCAACTGTGACAAAAAAATACTTATATATAAAATAGGCTACTTCATGTGTGTGAAAAAAACAGCACAAAATTTAAAATTATTAAATGGTGTAAGACACATACATTATATGACAAATTATGGGAAGAAAATGTTTGCAATAAATACCATAAA